ACGCCCAGCTATTTTTGTTGTTGTTGTTGTAGTTTGGCCGGGGCCGGGTTTGAACCCACCACCCTTGGTATATGGGGCTGGCGCCCTACCCAGTGAGCCACAGGTGCTGCCCAGTTTTTTTTTTTGAGATGAGTCTCACTATGTCGCCCTTGGTAGAGTGCCAAGGCATCACAGTTCACAGCAACCTTTAATTCTTGGGCTTAAGTGATTCTCTTGCCTCGGCCTCCTGAGTAGCTGGCACTACAGGTGCCCGCCACAGTGCCCAGCTATTTTTTGGTTGTAGTCGTCATTGTTGTTTGGCAGGCCCGGGCTGGATTCGAACCTGCCACCTTAGGTGTATGTGGCTGGGCCCCATAACTGCTGAGCTACAGGTGCTGAGCCAGGCTTCATTTTCTTTATAGAGCACAGGCAGAATAGATTTAGCACAATTCTTTTTATTTATTTATTTATTTTGAGACAGAGTCTTGCGATGTTGCTCTTGGTAGAATGCCATGTCCTCACAGCAATTTCAAACTCTTGGGCTCAAGTGATTCTCTTGCCTCAGCCTCCTGAGTAGCTGGGAATACAGGTGCCCGCCACAATGCCCCTACAGGGCTCAAACCCACCATCCTCGGGTGTTTGTGATTGGTGCCCTACTCACTGAGCTACAGGCATTGAGCCAGATTTAGCATAATTCTTAAGTGCCCTAGCTAGGGTTTTCACAAAGGTAAATGAACATTGGCCTTAGCTTAGTTACCAGCTACATTAGCTCCTAACAAGAGAGCCTGTCTTTTGAAACTTTTAATCCAGACTTCTCTCTATGGAAAAGAAAGCTGTTTCATCTATGTTGAAAATCTGTTATTTAGTGTAGCTACCTTCATTAGTGATTTTAGCCAATCTTCTAGATACCTTGCTGCAGCTTCTACATGAATAGTTGCTGGTTCACCCTGCACTTTTATGTTATAAAGATGGCTTCTTTCCTTAAACCTCATAAACCAACAACTTTGCTAGCTTCCTCATTTCTCTTACCCTGTATAAAATTGAGGAAAGTTAGGGTCCTAGCTTAGACTGTGGCTTAAGGAAATATTATGTCTGCTTTGATCTTCTGTCCAGACCACAAAAACTTTGTCCATATCAACAGTCAAGTTGTTTCACTTTCTTATCATTTGCTTGTTCACTGGAGTAGCACTTTTCATTTCCTTCAAGAACATTTCCTTTGTTTGGAAAGTTGGCTGTTTAGAACAAGAGGCCTACCTTTTGGCCTCTAAGCTTTTGACATGCCTTGTTCACTATAAGCTTAATCATATCTGGTTTTTGATTGAAGGTGAGAGATTTGCTACTCTATTTTTCACTTGTACATTTAGAGGCCATTGCATATGCTATAGGAAAAATGGCACCAATAGAACACCTTGACACAGTTGCCACACACCTTCAATTTGTAAAAAAAGAAAACCACTCACACATCGATACACACAAATGCAGTATCTGCAAAGTGCAATAAATTGAGGTACGCATGTATGTGTGTGTGTGTGGAAGTGAGGCCCAGTGCTATCCGTGGTTTTAGACACTGGGGGTGCTGGAACATATCCCCATGATGAGGGAGGAGTAATGTATTTGTTTATATATTTACAAGGAAACCATAGAAAATTAAAACAAAAATAATTAAGAATGGTACCTATACAAGGAAAGAGGGAGGAGAGCTGTAACTCAGACCTCTCTGAATATACCTTATGTTATAGTTTTGATTTTAGAACCCTACAAATATTTTGCATAATTTTTTTTTTGAGACAGAGCCTCAAGCTGTCCCCCTGGGTAGAGTGCTGTGGCATCACAGCTCACAGAAACCTCCAGCTCCTGGGCTCAAGTGAGTCTCCTGCCTCAGCTTCCCAAGTAGCTGGGACACAGGCGCCTGCCACAACACCGGGCTATTTTTTTGGTTGCAGCCGTCATTGTTGTTTGGCGGGCCCAGGCTGGATTCGAACCCGCCACCTTAGGTGTATGTGGCTGGCGCCTTAGCCACTTGAGCCACAGGTGCTGAGCCCATAATTTTTTTAATTAAAAAATAACACAGGCTCGGTGCCAAACAACAATGACGGCTGTACCCAAAAAATTGCTGGGCGTTGTAGCGGGTGCCTGTGGTCCCAGTTACTTGGAAGGCTGAGGCAGAGGACTCTCTTGAGCCCAGGAATTGGAGGTTGCTGTGAGCTGTGATACCACAGCACTCTACCCAGGGTGACAGCTTGAGGCTCTGTCTCAAAAAAAAAAAAAGGCCCAGGCTTGGTTGGAGCCTGCTAGCCCTGGTTTGTGTGGCTGGCACCTAACCATTGAGTTACAGGCACCAAACCTAAAAGTCATTTTTGATGAATAGAAATTTCCCCTGTATGTCTTTTAAGAGATCTTCTTCAGGGCTGAGTGCAGTGGCTCACACCTGTAATCCTAGCACTCCATCATTGTTGCTTAGCAGGTGGATCGCTTAGATTCATGAGTTTGAGACCAGCCTGAGGAAAAACCAGACCCCCGTCTCTAAAAAAAAGGAGCTGGGCATTGTGATGGATGCCTATAATCCTAGCTACTTGGGAGGCTGAGGCAAGAGGATCGCTTGAGCCCAAGAGTTTGAGGTTGCTGTAGTTATGATAGCATGGCACTTTACTAGGCAGTGACAGAGTGAGAGACTGTCTCAAAAAGAAAAGGATCCTCTTCCTTAGTCTTTTACTTCTTTTTCTTTTTAGAAATATATGTGTATAAAATTTGGATGAGAACAAAGATTAAGTTGGCCTATGTTTATACACTTTAGCTTTGCTTACCGGAAGTTGGAAGGCAACTGTCACATGTGTTCAAATCTGTATTTTCCCCAGTTTCTCCACATAACCTGACAGTGTTTTGGACTTCAGTCTTATCCAGCCTCTTATTTCTGCTTTTGTCACACTTTTAGATTTCAGTGGTCTCCAACTGATTTGAAAGGCATTTGGCAAAACAGTGAATTCTGTTCATTTGCTAAGAATAAAAACATAACCTACCCACAAGCCTCTTTTTGGAAAATAACTTGGCCCTTGCCAGCTTGTCCTTTTAGAGCAAAAAAGGCCAGCTAGGCTTAGGGTAGAATAGCAAGCACAGCTATGTCTGTACTGACCACGTGAAGCATGTTATGAGTGAAGCCTCAGGGGGTTGTGTGCTTTTTCATTTGAGGAGAATCCCTGAGACTGAAAGACTTGCAGGTACTCTTCTTTCTCTTCCAGGCATTAAGTAACTATGACCTGGCTTGGCACCTGTAGCTCAGTTAGTAGGGCCCCAGCCACATATACCAAGGCTGGTGGGTCTGAGCCCGGCTGGACCAGCTAAACAACAATGACAACTGCAACAAAAAAATAAATAGCTGGGCCTTGTGGTGGGTGCCTGTAATCCCAGCTATTTTGGAGGCTGAGGCAAGAGAATCACTTAAACCTAAGAGCTTAAGGTGGCGGTGAGCTGTGACACCACAGCACTCTACCAAGGGTGACATAGTGAGACTCTGTCTCAAAAGAAAAAAAAAAGAAACTGTGACCTGTATCAGTTAATATGCAATGGTAATGTGATCTCTTGAAAAGGGCCCATTGGCTTAGCGCCTGTGGCTCAAGTGGCTAAGGCGCCAGCCACATACACCTAAGGAGGTGGGTTTGAATCCAGCCCAGGCCCACCAAAACAACAATGACCACTGCAACCAAAAAAAGCCGGGTGTTGTGGTGAGCACTTGTGGTCCCAGCTACTTGGGAGGCTGAGGCAGGAGACTGAGCCCAGGAATTGGAGGTTGCTGTGAGCTGTGATGCCACAACACTCCACCCAGGAGGGATAGCTTGGGGCTGTGTCTAAAAAAAAAAGAAAGGAAGAAAGAAAGAAAGAAAGAAAGAAAGAAAGAAAAGAGCCCATTATTGGGAATCTGAAAAGTATGTTTCTGGGAAATCAGATCTTATGTTTCTACTGACTTAACTTTGTAATTCTGGATGTTTACTTGCTGTTTAATTAACATTACAAACTTTTTTTGGTCAGTCTTCTTTCTCTTTTTTCTGGTGCATTATTTTAAAGCAAATATTTGAGAATACAGCATTTCACTGTAAATACTTCCTTATTGGCAATATCGTTAGCCTGTGTAGGCTTCTCTACTGAGAGGAAATATTTTCTGCTTCATTATTTCATAAACATGTGAGAGAAAAAAGTGGAAATATTTTAAATATAAGAATATGAAATAAATGATACCATTGATTCTAGATATTTCAGGGGTTTTTTTTGGCCAGGGCTGGGTTTGAACCTGCCACCTCTAGCATATGGAGCCAGCACCTTACTCCTTTGAGCCACAGGCACTGCCCTAGATATTTGTTTTTAAATGGGCTCACTGAAAATAAAGAATTAAACTGATTATATCATGTAAAAATATGTGAATTTGGTTTTATATCAAATGAATTCTCTAAAGTTTTAACGGATTTTTTTTTTTTTTGAGACAGAGTCTGAAGCTGTTGCCCTAGATAGAATGCTGTAGCATCACAGCTCACAGCAACCTCGAACTCTTGGGCTTAAGCAATTCTCTTGCCTCAGCTTCCCAAGTCTATAGGCACCCGCCACAATGCCCAGCTATTTTTTTAGTTGTAGTTATCATTGTTGTTTGGCAGGCCTGGGCTGGATTTGAACCCACCAGCTCCGGTGTACGTGGCTGTTACCCTGGCCACTGAGCTACAAGCACCAAGCCTGAATGGATCTTTTTAAAATGCTGGTTCCATTTCATTGTTAGTTAGAAATAAATATTTGGTGCCAGGCATGTTGGTTCACACCTGTAATCCCAGCATTTTAGGAGGCTGAGGCAGGAATATAGCTTGAGGCCAGGAGTTCAAGACCAGCCTTGACAACATAAGTGAAACCCTTTCTCTACTTATGAAATAAATAAATAAACAAATTTTAAAAATATATGTGTATAGGCAAGCCAACATGATTGATTATGTCCCCCTTCTCAGTCAAGTTCCTAAAGACCATTCTCTTTTTTTCCCTATAAATAGAGCCTGGTATTTCAACATCAGATATTCTTTCTTGGATTAAACAAGAGGAAGAGCCTCAGATTGTGGCCCCACAGGAGTCCAAGGAGAGTGACATATATAAGAGCACCTATGCTGGTAAGATGTCAAAGAGAGGTTCACATCAGATCCAGCTAGTGCCAAGACTGTCTAAAGAAGGAGCAGATGAAATATGAGATGAAGTTGTAGAGGCAAGGGCATGGGAGAAGAATGAGAAAAGGAAAGAAAGACGTGCTCTAATAAGCTGACAATGAAACCAAAAGATCACTAAGATAACTTCTGAATGAGGAAATACACTCTTAATATACAAGAAAAATTGGAATTGTCAGAGGAAGAAAAATAAGTGCATACAAGTGGATCAAAAGTACAGGGTGGGAAAAGACAGAAGAGCATTTAACAATGATGGAGAAAGGATAAAAAAACCAATAGGGAGTAGGTTGGGGGACAAGCAAGGAGACAGAAATGCCGTCAGAGAGGTGCTCATGCTCATGGGGATGTTAGGAAGAGCTCTCCTTTGTGGAAAGGGAAAACAGTGATGGAAAAGAAAAGTATCTTCCCTCTAAGATACTTAGTACCATCTGTATTTTGCCATTTGAATTACTAAAGAGAATCTCAAGGTTAGAAGGGACCCAGTCATTTTTTAGTGACTTGTATGTCCTGTTTTTTTTTTTTTGGTTTGGCCAGGGCTGGGTTTGAACCCACCACCTCCGGCATATAGGGCTGGCGCTCTACCCTTTTGAGCCACAGGCACCGCCCCGTCCTGTGTTTTTTTAACTGTAAAATACAAATGAAAAATAAGATAGTTTCTGCTCTTAGAGAAACACATATTAATACTAAGCATGCCTGTTAAGTGTCAAGCATAAGTGGGATGGATGCTTATAAAAGAAATGAGAAGTTTCAAGAGCTTGCATCAGTTTTAGTATAGGTATTCAGAAAAGGAGAATGGGGCCTTAGAAGACTGGTATGGCCAGGTACAGTGACTCATGCCTTTAATCCTAGCACTTAGGGAGACTGAGGCAGGTAGATTGCCTGAGCTCTTGAGTTTGAGACCAGCCTGAGCAAAGTAAGACCCCATCTCTACTAAACACTAGCCAAGCATTGTGGTAGGTGCCTGTAGTCTCAGATACTCAGGAGGCTGAGGCAAGAGGGTCTCTCAAACCCAGGAGTCTGAGGTTGCTGTGGGCTATGATGACACAATGGCACTCTACCTAGGGCTAGAGAATATGAGACTGTCTTTAAAAAAAAAAAAAGATTGGTATGATATGGCTGAGGATAATTTGGGAAGACGGGGAGAAGGGGAAGCATTCTGCAAAAGGGAAGACAGAATGAGTAAGGATGTGAGCAGAAATGTGTGCTCTGTTTTCAGGGAATGTAAGGACAGCTGACCATAGTGAAGGATTTATCTGGTAGAATAGAGAGGAATAGGAGTAGGTAAAAATAAAATGTGATTTCAGGCTTTGTCACAATAGGCAACAGAAAGTTCTTGAGCAGGCGTGGCGCCTGTAGCTCAGCAGCTAGGGTGCCAGCCACATACACCAGAGCTGGCAGGTTCGAACCCAGCTCAGACCTGCCAAACAACAATGACAATTACAACCAAAAAATAGCCAGGAGTTGTGGTGGGCACCTGTAGTCCCAGCTACTGGGAGGCTGAGGCAAGAGAATCACCTAAGCCCAGGAGTTGGAGGTTACTGTGAGCTCTGACAACACAGCACTCTATCAAGGGCAACATAGTGAGACTCTGTCTGGAACAAACAAAAGAAAACAAAAAAGTAAGTTCTTGAGCAGAGGGGAAACATAATAACAATAATGTTGGGAAGGTTGATGCCAAGGCTTTTCCTTTTCTAAGCAGGGAGCATCAAAGAGGTATGGTGTTAGATTTTCTGATGATTTGCCACAGGGTCTACTGATGCCTAGATCATTATTGCAGCCCTTCACTCAGTTTCTTATCTGAGCCAGTTAAGAGCTGAGGGCATCAGTTAGAGCTGGGTGGGAATGCAGAGGAGTAGCTAGTGAGGCATGCGTGGATGGGAATAACTCTTAATACCTTTTTTTCAGATGAAGAGCTTGTCATCAAAGCCGAAAGCCTTGCTCAAGCCTCCTTGTGCCCCGAGGTTCCAGTCCCTTTCTCCTCTCCACCAGCAGTAGCAGCAAAGGATGCTTTTTCTGATGTGGCTTTCAAAAGCCAGCAGTCCATGACACCTTTTGGACGTCCAGTCACTGACCTTCCTGAAGCCTCTGAGGGACAAGTGACTTTCACTCAGTTGGGCAGCTACCCCCTCCCACCTCCAGTTGGGGAGCAGGTGTTCTCCTGCCACCACTGTGGCAAGAATCTCAGCCAAGACATGTTGCTGACCCACCAGTGTAACCACGCTGGGGAGCACCCTTCACCCTGTGCTCAGTGCCCTAAGCACCTTCCTCCACAGGCCAACCTCAGTAGCACCCCCCAGGACCCTGCCAGTGAGACACCCCCCACCTGCCCACACTGCGCCAGGACTTTTACTCACCCGTCAAGACTCACCTACCATCTCAGGGTCCATAACAGCACTGAGCGCCCTTTCCCATGTCCTGATTGTCCCAAGCGCTTTGCCGATCAGGCCCGACTTACCAGCCACCGGCGTGCTCATGCAAGTGAGAGGCCCTTCCGCTGTGCCCAGTGTGGCAGGAGCTTCAGTTTGAAAATCAGCCTCCTGCTTCACCAGCGGGGTCATGCACAAGAGCGGCCTTTCTCCTGCCCTCAGTGTGGCATTGACTTCAATGGCCACTCGGCCCTCATCCGCCACCAGATGATTCACACAGGCGAGCGTCCTTACCCGTGCACTGACTGCAGTAAGAGCTTTATGCGCAAGGAGCACCTACTCAACCACCGGCGGCTGCACACTGGAGAACGGCCCTTCAGCTGCCCTCACTGCGGCAAGAGCTTCATCCGCAAGCATCACCTCATGAAACACCAGCGCATCCACACTGGGGAGCGCCCCTACCCCTGCTCTTACTGTGGCAGAAGCTTTCGCTACAAACAGACACTCAAAGACCACCTGCGTTCAGGCCACAGTGGAGGCTGTGGGGGTGATAGCAACCCATCTGGACAGCCACCTGACCCACCAGGTCCCCTATTAACTGGGCTGGAAACCTCTGGCCTAGGTGTTAACACTGAAGGTCTAGAGGCCAACCAGTGGTATGGGGAAGGGAGTGGGGGGGGAGTTTTATAAATCTAAATCTCTGTGGCTTCATGGTTACCTATGGGCAGAAAATCTAAGAGAAAGCCTGTGAGCCCCTCTACCACTCACAGTAATTATCATCCAGCACATCAGTGAATTTGGGGTCCCATACACTTGACTAGAGATATTGCTTGTGCTTTGGAACTTCACACCGTTACAAGAGCACCATATTCTGAAACCTAGAAAGACCTGAAAAGAGCCCAGCATACCCATCTTTTCAATGATATTGCAAAAGCAGAAGTTACAAGAATTTTATCGAGAGGTTGGAAAGCAAGATTTGACCTCTGGTTATCTTGTGATTACAGGATAACAGATCAATAATAGATTGTGTCTCTAAGTAGAGACAGGTGGATGGGAAGACCCTCCAAAGCTTGAAGCCCATAGTGAGGCATGAAAATGAATGCTAAAGCTTTCATTAATTCCTGGATAGGTAAGATGGTTGTTGGAAGAAGGTGCTTAAGCCACTGTTTATGTAAATGCCTATCTTGAAAGCAGCCATGCTCTGTTCACATACTTGTGTAGCTGCCCTTCCCCGAAACATGGTAACTCAAGACTACCTAGATTAATTCCTTTAATACATTTTATTTAATTGAGTGGATAAGAAATCTGGCTTTAAAGTATGTTAAGGAGAACATTTTCTAACTTCATTGGCTCAATTTGAAGCATTCAGACTCTAACTGGCCTTTAAACTATGAGAAACCTTTGCCTTGATCCTAGTTAAAAAATTGATAGCAGTGTTCTCAGCCCGAGTTTAAAAGGTAGGGATCCCAGAGAAATAGGAGGCAAAACAATGATAGGACTGCCTAAAATTTGTGCCTACACCATGTTTTTAGAATCATTTACATCAAATTCTTCCTTATCTTTTCCAAGCCAGTAAGCTGGCTTTTCCATTCCTGGTGTCTGATATTCTTGACAATCATCAGGAATAAAGATCATCGCACTTTCCAGAACCATTATGAAGTTTCAGAAAGTGCCAGCAAACTCTCAACTTTCATTTCCTCAGAAGTGAGAGGATGACAGTGTTGTAATGCAGCATTCTTGGGCCATCAGAGAGAGGGTGTGTTCACTCCACCTGGCTCTACCCGCACCCCCACCCCCACCCCCGGAAGCAGATTAAGGGAAGTCCTGGATCACTGAGAGCTAAGCACCATGTGTAGACTACTATATAATTTTTTCTTGGGGTCATTTAATCAACTGGGAGCATTTGACTAAGGTGAGCACTTCTGAGTAGAACTGGGTATAAGTCACTTTCCCTTCACAGATCTCAAATTTTCATCTGCAAAATAAGGAAAAAAGTTGAAAGGAAAAAAGTGAACCTTTAGAAATTATTTTTTGTTAATCTTGTGATACATTTCTTCCCTTGCCAAAATCCTGTCTCTGTCTTTGGCTTCTGCCCAGGCAAAGCCAAATAAGACAGCAAAATCAAAGCGAAGAAATTCTTGCTGAAACTTGACTGAAATGAATTTGATTTGTTGTTTTACTTCTGCTTAGAAGCTTGAGGTAGGAGAGAGAGAGAATCCAGAAGCCCTGTGTCTTGGGAAGAAAAGTTGTTTGTTTCTACCCTCTTCTTATTTCCCCTGATTCTTCCTAAGATGCCTGGAACAAGGTCTGACAATATTTAGGATACTTTCTTGATGAAGTGTTAAGGAAGGGATCCAGATTTTTCTTATCACCTAGCCCACCCTTCACTCCACCTAATTATGCTTAACCGTACTAGGGACAGGTGTTAGCCCAGCTAGCTTTGGGAAGGACGTGTCTGAACATGCTGCTCTTTAGGATGATCACATTTATAATACATTTGCTATGACATTCACAATACCAGGAAATGGGAGATATAAGAAAGGTGTGTGAAACTGATTGTCATACACATTATAACTCAAAGTCTAAATAAGGGAATAAACCCACTGGGTTAGAACAACACAGATAATGAACAGAACCCCAGCATATAGAGATTAAGAGCTTTCCAGAATCTTGAAAAATTCTGGGGTTCTGGGAATCCCAAAGCCGGAGTTCTGCCTTCATTGCTAACCCATTTGGAACTTGAGTAAGATTTCAGTTCTGGTTAGCTCCTTATTTCCCCACTGAAAATGGAGAAGAGTCAAAGTATTGTTTTTGGTGGTGGGCTCCCTTTTCAGAGTAGATCCAAGCATTTGCCAGGGTATGGTGGAGAAGGCATTCCTCCACTAGGTGTGATGTGGGACTAGGTACCACTTGGCATTCTTTTTTTACTCAACAATTTGGCAAGAATACAAGGAGAGCTATGGGTTAAAATGCTGCAGATATATTCTAGAGCCCATCATGCAAGGAAATGTAACTGGCAGGGACCAAGATTTGGCATGTAGTGAATATTTTTCAATACTAGTGAAGCAAGAGCTGTAGAGCTGAATGAAAGGGACTGTGTAAGGTCATCCCAGAAAAATGGAAGTAGGTGTGATCCTATTCCTCAGCCCTGGCACAAAATAGATTTCAACTATTTACATTCTGTTCTCTCCCTCCATCAGTCCTCTACCAGGTAGAACTCCAAGGCTATTTCTAAAGAGTATTTGCTTAAGATTCAAGAGTGGATAAATAAAATGGATCAGTGGAAAAGATAAAGTCCAAAAGGAAGATCTCAGTCTGTGGAGGAGAAACTTGGCCCATCAAGTTCTCCTGAGAGAAACCATGCATTTAACTCTGTAGTTAAAGAAGTACCTGAGGACTGGTCATCTTGAGCAGACGATATAGGGAAGAGGAGACCCTGGAAACATGCTCTTCTGTCTGCCGTCTGGATGAAGAGGTCTGCACTATCACACAGGCACTGCAGTGAATCCAGGGGTTGACTGAAACCCAGACTCACTCTTTGCTTACTAGATTTTTCATCATCACCATTGAATGATCCTCTGGTTTAGCCACATATGTGAAAGGAAGTTGATTGAGTACCTAGCAAGTGAGGACCTTGATCCTTTTCTGTTGAACATTTGATAGTCCTTAGCTGGACTGTAGAGCAGTGCCCTCTGTAGTATCCCTCATCACCAATAATAAAGTCTGCAGAGTTTGGGGGCTCTGCTGGGCTTCTCTTGAGCAATTTTGAGAGCTGGCTGTCCATGCCAAGGACCAGACCCTGTGGCTTACTAAGTAAAAACATGTTCACCATCTAGTCCAAAAAAGCCTTGTTGATTAATAAAAAAGGGGGGGGCCTGAGTTCCTTTATTCATTCTAAATGATATGGGAATCCCAAATATCTGCTCAGATTTTCTCTGAAGAGACAAGACCCCTGACCCTGTGTCTTAGCTTCTCTAATGAGAAGAAGTGTCCTTAACAGCCCAAGGGCTGCTCAATAGCAAAAGCAAGTCTTTTTCCAAAAAGGCTGTCATGGACAAGGACCTCTAATGTCATCAGATAGTTTTTTCTGTGGGCATGTGGATACTTGTGACCTGTTCTCTTTGGCACTCATTCTTTATCTGTAGGAAAGTAGGAGTCTCTTCTCATAGGGTTTATGCAGAAGCTGCTCTTTTAGGGGAGAGTTTTAGGCTCTTACAAGCAAAAGATTGTACTTTGAGATTGAAGTGGTAGGAGGGTCGGGTGGGAGCAGGTACTCAACACAAGGATACAGTTTAAGGACTAAGGGCACAGGCTCTGGATTTAGCCCTAGGTTTGGGTCCTAGCATCACAGGTAATGTAACTGATTTCTTATTTACCCTTAGTTTCCTCACTTGTAAAAGACAGATTATGATACCTATGTCTCAGAGGTGTTAAGGCTGAGGAGAAAGCCTATGTGGCGTCTAGCAGGCCTGACTCGTAGGAGGTTCAGTGATAGTCCTAAGGAAAGGGCGCCAGAAAGCAAGGTTCAGTTTGAAGTGGAAAGTTGAGAACTGAAGCTGCTCTACAGAAGCACATGACCACCACGTGTCTCAGCTTGTTGCCTACCATCTTTTGCTTTCATTTACCCTGTTCTATCATTTCTGTACCTGTTGGCTTCCTTACGTCTCTGTTGGATACCATGTGGCTCTGATTCTCCTGGTTTTTCTTAGTTCATTTTCTATAGTGGGGAATCTGGCCTACCTTTCCTTTCTGTACCAGCCCACAGACATTTCCAGCCAATCCTTAGATTGCTGCCCTTGGGTTAAGTACTTGCTCATTCTGGTTCAGTTAGCTAGAGTTAGGTGTAACGGTCCTGTGACTCCTGCCCCAGGATCTCTGGGCCTGGTAGATTCACTTGGGAACGAATCTACTAGAAAAACTGACATAGTATATATGGCACTGTTAGTACTCCCTGGATAGAGAGAATCTCTCTTTAACCTGTATCAGGGTTGCTTAAAAGATTTCTTAAGTGCCATCAGAGGCCAGAACATATTGTTCCTTGCATAGAGCACCTGGAAGGTGGTATTTACATACCATGTAGAGTGAGTCATGTGTCACTTTTTAATCTATTCATCCTTTTCTGGACCTGCTCCAGTTCTTTTTAAATGGGTAACTCTAGTCACAGTCATACCCACACACAGTGACTTTTGTCAATGTGGTCAATTAAATTGCCTCCTCAAAATGATATTTCACCACTAAGCAACTACTCATCAGAGAAGCCTCAAAGGCGGATGCTGCAATGTTCAAAGATTGCCAGGTTACATTGCAGATATGATAAAACCTCATGAGCTATGTGACTGTGTATCAGCCAGTATTTACTGTAAAATCTTAAGACTTCTCCAATGGCAAGCTACTGGAACAGAAGTCTTATTTTGTATCCTGCATGGTGGCTCTTGCTGTAGGCACACGGACGCTCATGATAGGTTGTGTAGTGGGAAGACCAACGGAGTAGGAGTTAACTGGATTATGGTCCTTGCTTAACATTCTCTACATGATATGGGGCAAACTATGAAGATCTTTTTCCTAGTTCTAATGTGAAGATTGAACAAAATGGTAATATATTTTTATGTATAGGGACCTTATAAGGTCCCTTCCAACTCTAAAATTATAGAATTTAAGATTATACTTTCGGGTCCTGTTTCTTTGGTTTCTTCCTACCTGGGTTTTGCCCTCTTGAGTGGCTGCTTCCGCACAGCAGAACAAACACCCTGGAGAAGCGTGCATTATTACAGAAGGAAGAATCTCACTCTAACCATAATTCCTTCAAAGCCACACAAACTAATTTCTAGCAAAAGTATAAAATGTCTTAAATACTTATGAAGTATGCATTTAAAAACAAAGTATTTAACTACTTTTTTTTTTGTAGAGACAGTCTCAGTTTGTCAGCCTCGGTAGAGTGCCGTGGTGTCACATAGCTCACAGCAACCTCTAACTCCTGGCCTTAGGTGATTCTCTTGTCTCAGCCTCCCAAGTAGCTGGGACTACAGGTGCCTGGCTATTTTTTTTTGTTGCAGTTTGGCCGGGGCTGGATTTAAACCTGCCACCCTCAGTATATGGGACCGGCGCCCTACCCACTGAGCCACAGGCACTGCTCTATTTAACTACATTTTTAAAAGCATCAAAACAGAAGGAAAATAATTATTTTGGCATGGTACTGGGGTCATTTAATGATTACTTTTCTGTAAATTTTGTGTAATGTAAAGAAAGCACTTTGTGTAAAGCATTTTTTTTTTTTTTGCACTTTTTGGCTGGGGCTGGGTTTGAACCGCCACCTCCA